TGATTAATAAATTTATATTACATGATATAATTCATTAAAAAAATAATATGTAATAGTTTGTCTTGTACTAACTGAGAATTTGTGTTTATTGGTTAGGTTACAGTGGCTTCATTTGAAATATTCATGGGAGATACAAAAAAGCGCTTGACTGCACTGGAGGAGAGGGAGAAGCAAAGAGATGCTCGGCTTTCAGTGTTGGAGACAAACCTTAGCAAAGCTCTTGTTTCACTCTTTCCCAGAGTGGAGTCTATTTTGACTAAGCTTGAAGGAAAGGATCTGAAAAATGAGCCTGTGTGTAGTAAAGATGTGTCGAAGAATAAGAATCCTGTTGCATCCACTAGCAAACAGATGCCAAAGTGTTCACAAACTTCTAGTAATAGCAATGAGGGGGAATCTAAGAAGAAGCAAGATCAGACAGAAACAAGTAGGAAGTCTTCTCAATCTCCAATTACTGCAGTATCTCCTCCAACCCCCACAGCTTCTGAATCTGTTATCTTGGACAGAGATTTGATCAGTGCTACAAACTGTGGAAATTTGAGAAAAATACGAAGTCTGATTGCAGCAGGAGCTAATGTCAATACTAGAAGTCTGTTAGGAAAAAGTGCTGTGAGTATTGCAGCTCTAAATGGCCATCTTGAATGTATGCAAGAACTAATAAATTCTGGAGCTGACATACGTGCATCAGATACTGAAGGCTATAATGCAGTGCATTTGGCTGCATCGCGAGGAAAAGATGCAATTTTGCAATGTCTCCTATCTAGAGATGTTGATGTAAATATAAAAACAGATGGTGGTGAAACACCTTTGTTGTTGGCTTCTAAGAGTGGCCACAAGAAGTGTCTGTTAATACTTCTGGAACATTTTGCAGAGATTGATCCAAAGGATAGTGATAATAGAACTCCACTCCATCATGCTGTGATTAATAATAATGTTGACTGTGCCGTTGTGTTATTAGAGTGGGGTGCTGATTTATATAATCTTGATTTTGAGGGAAAATCACCTTTATTTTATGCTTTTCAGTCACAGAATAGGGCAATGCATGATGCCATTCTTAGTATTACAGATGATGGTAATGATTGAGACTGTTTGCGTTATCTCGTGTGAATATTCTATTCAGTCTGTGTTGAACTAATAAATACAGTTACCATTTGTGCATCAGGAAAGTAATAAAATTCCTTGGAATATGTTTTTATTATTCAAAAATGTGAATTTATTCGTTATTATGTTGGTATTTGAAGCTTGTATTATTATAGTATATGGGTGTGGTACTGCTTATTTGTGCTATTCAAGTTTGAAAGATGAACTGCCATAAAATCTGAGTGAATATTTAAAATGTCAATTTTTAGTTGTTTTACTTATAAATCTAGTTTTATGTAAGTTACAATACTAGTTATGAAGTTGCAGCACAGTTTATTTTAGTATGTTTATACATATGTATTTCACAGATTCTTATGTAAAGGCATAAATGTGAATACATGGATTTCACAATAATATTAACTAAAATGTTGTTTAAAATGAGAGTTTACTTGTTTAATTCATAAGTTTGGATTGAGTAGCATTAAATTAAAAAGTATGTAGGGAATGACATGAAAAAGAGGGATAATATTAGAAGTTTGGCCATTATATGTTTTATTTTTGTCCGCACTAATCAGATGAGTAGTTCATTCCAGAGAACAGTAAAGTCTGTTCTGAGGGGAATCAAACAAAGCTGTTAGATGATTGTCAAATGAGGAACAATTTAGCAAAATGCAAGATGGTAGGCTGACATCAAAGTTGCTATCAATGCAGGTATGAATGGCAAAATATTTATTTGCATTAATTATATGATATCTTATGGATTACACCTGAGAAATATAGCTTTATAAACTGAATATATGCCAGACTTAACAGTCACATTCAACATTTCCTTAATCACATACTAAATCTTTTTCTCAAAATAGTTCCCTTATATTAAGTAAAATGGGGTCTCCCGGAAAATTATTCTATTCATAGTTGCTAAAAACTGGCATGAAAGGCATAAAAAGTAAAATAGAAGTGCCTGTAGAACTTGATTCACTTACTGAAATGGATGCAAAGTGCTATTTGTACTAGAAAAAGTGGCAGATTTAGAAACCAGTGGCTCTCAGTTCTTTGTTCTGTTAATTCTTTCTAAAATTTGTGTTTGTTTATATTTTGTTGTAAGATAATAAGTAGAGTGAACTTGATTGAAAGATAATTGTCTTGTCATATTTTATGTTATACCTGCAATAAACAGTGCAGTTCAAACAGTAGAAAATGGATAAAACAGCATTATACATTTGAGGCATTGAGAGCAAAAATAGACTAATTTCATTTTGTCGTGAGAGCAACCGTTGCCTAACTGTAGTGATAACAATTGGCATTAAGGCCTCTCTTGCTCTCGAGACAGATTGTAGGTAGTCCATCTTTGCTGTCAATGACTTATTTATGTTCAGACAACAACAATTGATCAGACGATGTTTGCAACATGGTCACAAAGGCAGTTAATAGTTACTGATTGCAAGCTAAGCATTGCTTGCGTATTTTGCCTTTTTGATAAAAAATATTGCTTTCAGATAATTTTTTTTGAATGAAAAATTGACCCTTGAGTAAAAGCTTAATTAACATAAAGGTTAAATTCAATCCTGATTTCAAAAATAAAATCTATTAATCATGTAGCCAGTTTTTCTATTGTAGTTGCTTTGACAAGTTTATTTTATAAAAAAGAGTCTCTGATCTAGTGGTGTATTTTAATATATTTTAGTCAGAAGTTTAAGGTCAAGTGATGTCATAAGTTTCTATAGAATATGGAAATAAAAGTTTGCAAGCTTACTGTGATAAACTGAAAATGAAATATTTTTATTTGTTATTCAGGTAAAATCCTCTAGTAATAATTGTTTTTTTGGATGTGATAAAACTGACATGCCTTTTATTCTTCTTTCTAAATGAAAGAGGAAATTTAAGACTTAAAATTAAATTTTACTGTTTTGAAATGATTTGTTAGATGTATATTCTTTTGTAACAATAAATGAAGATAATTATATTTTTATAAATTGAAAGAATGTATTGCTGGCATTTCTTGGTCATTACCTAGATTTCTTGCACCCTGTTGACCTTCCAATACTAAATTCATATAATTCCAAGTTCCTCTTCATACCCTCATCTTTTTGTATCCAAAGAACTTCAAAATTAGTTATTGGTATTATACTCTGATTAAAACAGGAAGTCCTTTCAAGGTTCTGAGCTGGCAGGAAAGGGGGGTGCTCATCGAATTGTTAGCTTCATTATGACTTATATTTTCAGTATTGAAGCCCCCAGATTGGATGACAGTGTCTCCATCTCTTTTCAGCCCATGACTTTGAAAAGACTTCATGTTTTAATCAAAGTATAGTACCAGGCTTTGAAAGAGAGAAATAAAAATGTCCAGAAACATGATTTGTTTATTAGGATGTTTCCTTTTGAAAACAATATTTTACGCAGTCATTTATTGGATCAGAGTAATTTCATTGATATTCTGTAAAGGTGACATTGCAAAGAAATTGCTATTATCAGACAATAATGCATTGTATTATACACAATTAATATAATAAATATCAGAGATAAATTTCTGTTCATAGTCTGTACATGATGCATTACAGCCCATGCTCTGCCCTTTGAGTTTAGAGATTTTTACTTCACGTTAAAGAAAGGTAGGTTTATGATATTTATACTTTGTGAAATTGTTTTAATGTAATGAAATTTGTTTTTGATATTAGCATTTTTAATTATGTGTAATATGTTTAATTAAGTGTGTATCAGGGTGAGCCTGCCAATGCAGAGCTACTTCTGCAAAACATCACCTTCACAATATATGTTTAAAACTAATGTGATCCAATTAGTGAAAAACTTCTATCATGTGATCATCCTGTATTAGGTAAAAGGAAACATCATAATAGCATTAAATTGGACAATCATAGAGTATTAACTGCACGATTTGGTACCCCAAAACAGAACTTTTATGTTGGATTAACCCAGAAGATTGCTTTTTCTTTTTTTGTCTTCTTCCTTCTTCACTTCCCTCTTCACTTTACTCCGCTGTCTTTTACACTATCCCTTTCTTCATCTAGTCTGTTTTCATCCTTTTCTTTTCCTTCATTCTTCTCCTCAGTTTCCCAGCATTGATACCCTTTATCTTTTCTCAGTGCTTTGCAGTGCCAGCTTTGGGCATGGGCAGACCGGGCGATTGCCAGGAGCTCTGCAAGACCAGAGGACGATGATGGGACTGATGGGAATAAAATTAGTTAAAAATTGTGAAAGAAATTAGAACTCGAAAAAATCGTTTTCGTGAATGTTCAGTAGTCTGATATTTCATAAAATTTGCAATTAATTTTTTACCTTAAATAGTTAATTATAGTCCTTACACTGTAGAATTTGGAAATTCCTTTACACTGTAGAACATGTTAAGCAGGAAAGCTTTCAATTTGCTTTTAAATGTATGAATTG